GAGCATCTTAACAGTTATTTTCAGTCAGTCTGAGCATAGTACTTAGTATTTGTTTATTTATATATATTTTACAGATTGATCAGCAGCAGCATTTACAATTTAGCAGTTCAGGTGGGAACTCAGAATAAGTATTACATTGATTATAATTACTCAGCCACGTTTAAAGGTATGTATATGAGATTATCCGCTTTGGGTGGGGGCGCAAGGCCTTAAGTACCCATCCAAAGTTCTGGTGGAGGCGCAAGGCCTTAAGTATCCATCAGAGTGTGCACATGGCGGACATAGTGTCCGAGACAGTTCAGTTACAGACCTTGTGTCTGGAGATTACAGTTTATTTATACATACCTGCAACCATGATATTATTATTATTAATGTTTACTTTAGTATGAGTTTCTGCGGAGTACAGTGATTTTAGTACTCACGCTCGCACTTTATAATGTTTTTCAGGTGACAGGGTCGGTCCGGAGGAGTGAGCGGAGCAGGTGGTTGTTGGTCCAGTAAATACGTTTTGCAGACTTATGATATGTATATTATTTACTGTTTTGACTTCCGCTGACGTTTTCAGACTTTCCATCTAGCATGCTAGTTTAAGATTTTGATCCAAACCTCCAGGTCGGATTTAGACAGTACGACATGTTAATAAAAGATAATCCGTTTTTCTAGATAAGTTCTGTTTAACTAAGTCAACGGATTTTTAGAAAAGTAATGTATTATCAGTAGCATCCCAGATCATGTTTTCGCAAACCAATACGTATTTCTTAGAAAGGATTTTGTGAAAATCGCACTCTGATTTTAATAAGCTAGTGGGGTGTTACAAATGGTATCAGAGCACGTTTTTGTGTATCTGAATACTTTATTAAGTCAGAAATTTTTAGAAAAGACCCGACCACGCTACGCTCACGCCTCGCCGACTACAGGTAAGTGCTGAGTTACAGTTTATATATCTAAACGGATGCTTTAGTCTATGCTCAGTAGAGGGTATCAGATATTTAACCCTAGAAACCAGTAAGATGCTCGAGTTATTGATCAAGTATGTTTAAAGTACAAGTCGATTATCCCGGTTATTTGATAGTTCGACTTTAGTTTTCTCGGGTTAATATTAGCAACTCGTCAAGAGATCTGTGCGCATTAACAAGCATTACAAGTATTCTATCATGTTTGCGTCTAATTATGTTGATTTTTTCCAATATTCAAATGCCGCCTCATAGAGAACCAGGTCTCCCTCAGGCCACAGTAGTCGCACACTTCCGCGACTACCATCCCGAAAAGTTTTCCGGCCAAGGAGATCCTCGTATAGTGGACGAATGGGTTCAGGGCCTTGAAATGATTTTCGAGGTCATGGACTGTCCTGATCATTATCGTGTAATATGCGCACAAATCCAGCTGACCGGTGATGCCAGACTCTGGTGGAATGCCCATTGGGGTATGCGTCCTGGCGAGAAAGAAGGCTGTACATGGGACCAATTCAAGGAGTTGATCCGCGGGAAGTTCTATCCTTCGTACTACCGAGCAGATATGGAGCGCCAGTTCTTGGCACTCAGACAGGGTACTCATTCTGTCGACGAGTATGAAAGAGAGTTTACCCGACTCGGATCCTTTGTACCTGATCTTGTGAGTACAGAGGAGAAGAGAGCTCTTCGTTTTACCGACGGACTTCTCCCAGCAGTCCACCACAAAATCGTAGGTCATGGCGTCCAGACCTACGCCCGCACAGTCGCCATTTCCCAGGAGATAGATGCCAGTATCTGACGAGAAGCTAATCTGACTTTAGCCTAGCCAGTTGCTCAGCCACCAGCCCAGCCCAACGGTGCTCAATCATCAAAGAACCAGAAGAAGAGGAAGTTTAGAGGAGGCCCAGACGACCGGAGGAATCGCCCCAAACAGACACCAAACTTCCCGACATGTGGAAAGTGCCACCGTGGAGAATGCCTTGTAGGCCAGAAACATTTGTTTTTTTTGTCGCCAGCCAGGCCATATCAGCCCCAACTGCCCCGAACGACTGCAACAACAACGACAACCACCTCAGCAACCTCAACAACAACAGCAACCTCGACAACAGCCACCACGACCCCAGCAACAGCAACGCGGCAGACAGCAGGCCCGCGTCTTTGTAGTTGATCAACAAGAGGCCGACCAGCACCCATGTACCATGTCTGGGATGATTATTCTTAATGATGTGCCTGTTTATGCCTTATTTGACACCGGAGCAACCCACTCTTTTATATCACGCCGATGTCTCGAAGCTATAGGAGTTCATTCTCTTACCACTGTTGATCCTCTCGAGGTGAGTTTAGCCTCGGGACAAAATATAGTGACTGATGCCAGAGCCACCGATATCAGCCTTTCCGTCGGCGGCCAAATTTTAACTTCTGATGCCTATGTTATCGTGATGAGGGACTTTGACCTCATACTCGGAATGGATTGGCTAACACGTTTTCACGCAGATATACGATGTCATGACCGGGAGATTACTCTTTATCTTCCGGGAGATGATCAGATCACTTATTTCGGCTCCAGGACTCGTACTCTGCCCCATATTATTTTTATGGCAAAAGCCAGGAGGATTCTTCGACGGGGTGATTTCCAGGGTTACCTTGTGAGCCTCGTTGGAGATGAGCCAAAAGCACGGTCACCTCATGACATTCCCATTGTTCGTGAGTTTGTGGACGTGTTCCCAGATCAGCTTCCGAGTGGTCCACCTAGCCGACAAGTGGAATTTTCTATCGATCTTATCCCTGGAGCTGGACCCGTTTCTAAGGCGCCATACAGAATGGCACCTAAAGAATTGCAGGAGTTAAAGACCCAAATTCAAGAGTTGCTGAATCTCGGTTTTATTCGACCGAGCGTCTCACCTTGGGGAGCACCCGTTCTCTTTGTCAAGAAGAAGGACGGATCTATGCGTATGTGTATCGACTACCGGGATCTCAACCGGTTGACGATCAAGAATAAATATCCGCTTCCCAGGATCGATGATTTATTTGACCAGTTGAGGGGTGCCTGCGTGATTTCTAAGATTGATTTGCGTTCAGGCTACCATCAGCTGAAAATCAAGGAATCAGACATACCTAAGACAGCGTTTCGTATGAGATACGGTCATTTCGAGTTTGTGGTTATGCCGTTTGGCCTCAGTAATGCCCCGACAGTATTCATGGACTTGATGAACCGTGTATTTCATCCTTTTCTCGACCAGTTCGTTATTGTATTCATTGATGATATCCTTATTTATTCCAAGAGCCAGAAAGAGCATGAGGAGCATCTGAGGGCTGTTCTTGCGACCCTTAGACGAGAAAAATTGTACGCAAAGTTCTCCAAGTGCGAATTTTGGCTTCAGCGAGTGGCTTTTCTTGGCCACATTATCACTCAAGCAGGTATTGAAGTAGATCCTTCCAAAATTGCCGCAGTGCAGAATTGGTCAGCACCGAGGAATCCGTCCAAAGTTCGTAGTTTTCTCGGCCTTGCAGGTTATTATCGTAGATTTATTGAGGGGTTCTCGAAGATTGCCCTCCCTTTGTCCCAGTTGACGAGGAAGTCTATGACGTTTGAATGGACAGATCGTTATGAGTCGAGTTTTCAGGAGCTGAAAAGAAGACTTACGACGGCACCAGTGCTGACTATTCCCGATCCTTATCGGATTTTCACCATCTATAGTGATGCTTCGAAGCGAGGTTTGGGGTGTGTACTTATGCAAGATGGCCAGGTTGTAGCATATGCTTCACGTCAGTTGAAGCCCCATGAGCAGAATTATCCTACCCACGACCTGGAGTTAGCTGCAGTGGTACACGCACTTAATATATGGCGGCATTATCTTTATGGTGGTCGATGTGAGATTTACACCGATCATAAGAGTCTGCAGTACATTTTCACGCAAAAGGAGCTCAACATGCGTCAGAGACGTTGGTTGGAGCTTGTTAAAGATTATGACTGCACGATTCAGTATCATCCAAGGAAAGCAAATGTTGTAGCTGATGCCTTGAGCCGAAAGGTAAAAGGCGAGTTATCTTGTTCTATTACTCAGCAGCGTTCTCTTATTCAAGACTTTGCCCGGATGCAGATTCAAGTCATCGAGTCGCTTCCTGCAGTGATTATAGGGAGTGTTAGCTCGATGCAAATTCAGCCTACGTTGAGAGACAGAATCCGGTAGGAACAGACTCATGATCAGTTTATACGTGCTATTGAGGCCAAGGTTTCCGCCGGAGGAGTCGAGGGTTTTTCTCGAGGCGCAGATGGCGCCTTAGAATTCCGAGGCAGGATAGTAGTGCCGAAGGTCGAGGCCATGCAGAAGGAGATCTTGACAGAGGAACACACCGCGCCTTATCTAGCTCACCCCGGTAGCACCAAGATGTATCATGACCTGAAAGGGTCTTTCTGGTGGAGGGGAATGAAGAAAGATGTTGCCAGTTTCGTAAGAAAGTGTTTGGTCTGTCAGCAGGTTAAGGCCGAACATAAGAGCCCCTTAGGCCTTCTACGACCACTTGAGATTCCAAAGTGGAAGTGGGAGGAGATTTCGATGGATTTCGTTACAGGGCTGCCGAGGTCGTCCGATCACCATGATGCGATTTGGGTAGTAGTGGACCGATTGACGAAATTCGCACATTTCCTACCTGTATCGATGACCATGTCAATGGAAAAGTTAGCCGAGATTTATAATCGTGGGATCGTTCGACTCCACGGAGTGCCCGCCCACATTGTGTCAGATCGAGACTCCTGATTCACTAGTAGATTCTGGAAGAGTTTACACGAAGCGATGGGCACGCAGTTGCATTTCATTTCGGCTTACCATCCAGAGACAGATGGTCAGACAGAAAGAACCATTCAGATGCTCGAGGATATGCTCAGACTGTTGATGTTAGACAGGGGTGCTAAATGGGAGTCGATTTTATCATTAGTTGAGTTCGCCTATAACAACAGTTATCAGGCGTCGATTCGAATGGCTCCTTTCGAGGCACTATACGGGCGTAAATGCCGCTCGCCCCTTTATTGGGACGATGTTGGCGAACGTCGAGTACTTAGTCCGAAAATGATCGAGGAGACAGCTGAGCAAGTCGAGCTTATCAGGCGGAGGCTTAGAACATCACAGAGTCGCAGAAGTCATCGGCCGACAAGCATAGACGTGACATTCAGTTCGAAGTCGGAGAACAAGCTTTTCTCAGAGTTAGCCCAATTCACGGAGTTATTCGATTTGGGAAGAGAGGGAAGTTATACCCTTAGTTCATAGGCCCGTTCGAAGTTCTTGAGCGAGTGGGCGAAGTTGCGTATCGGTTAGCCTTACCTCCCTAGTTATCCAGTGTTCATAATGTCTTTCATGTATCTATGTTGCGTAAATACGTGTGCGATCCCGATCATGTTATTCCGCATACCGATGTTCAGATCAATCCTGATTTATCTTACGAGGAGCGACCGGTAGCTGTGTTGGACCGACAGGTTCGACGACTCTGGAAGTGTAATGTTCCCCTTATTCGCGTTCAGTGGGATCGCCACGGAGCTACTTGGGAGCAGGAAGCAGACATCCACGCTCGTTTTCCCGATTTCCAGTTTTGATGTATATACTTTTCTTGTATCATGTATATATGTTCAGTTGTATATTTCCGGGGACGGAAATATTTTAAGGGGGGTAGATTGTAATAACCCAGTTTCTTGTTAATAAAAGTGATGTATTTCCTTTTATTATTCTCGTTCATTTTCAGCGAATAAGTTCGACTTTAAGTCGAAAAGTCTATTCGGTTAATTATTAACCGAGTCAAATTCGATAATTAATTTCCGAACCGTTTATTTTATAAACGGACAGTATTAATCGGAATTAATTATTAAAAGTTAAGAATGTTCAGAAGTAAGTTCGAAGTCAAAGTCAAGCCAAGTTACGAATGCACACAAGGTGCACCGTGTACGCACGCGTACGTGCACGATGTACGCAGCCGTACGCGTAGCCGCGCACACAAACGCGCGAAGCGCGCATCGCCGCGCCCAGCGCATAACGCGCGCGTCATTAGGCCGCTAAGCACGCACTTAGGCAATGCTTAGCAACATAATCAAGCCAAATTCCCTTCCTAAGAATTACCGTGTGGGAAAATCTAACGATAAATATTGGGTGTGCAAGTGGGGTGGTGAGTCACCTACTTGCTTGAACACATGGCATGACACGGGGCCACGAGTGATGACTAAGTCGTGCATGTCCGCCACCTTGGCGATGACTAAGCAAAATCCGCCCAACACCTCAGCCATGCTTTGGACACTTTTAATCAACGGAAGTGTTATCATCTTCCACCTCCTTTGACCCCAAATTACTCACGGTTTTTGTCTCCATAAATAACTGAGCATGTGGGACGTTTTCCCCATGCATTTTCAGCCAAATTCAGCATACTAAAAAGAGAGAAAACAGTAAGGAAAAATAGAGGAAACATTATATAAATAATAGCTAAGGAAGGACGAAGCAAAGGGACGTTAGCAAGCACGCGTTTGAGCATTGTATACGCACGCAAGCTATCGTGCAATCCTCGACCGAACTGAAGGGTATACCTCTATTTACCCTCTTTTTATGTAGTTAAGTTCATGTTAAAAAGATCATGTCAAAGTCATGATTGTTTGGTCCAAGATTTTAGTAAAAATGGCCTCGGAGGTGCTATTTAAGCCCTCCCGAGTGATTTCAAAAGTTAACGGCAAGTCCCGAGTAATCTGTGTATTTTCAGTCATTTTAAGTCATTTTATACTCAGTCATGTAAGGGTTGCCGGAAAAAGTAGCCGGACGGCTGGCGAAATGCCGACCGAGATGCCTACCGCACGCAGCGTGCGTACAGGCACGCCCGGCAGGGCCAGCGAGTACGCAGGCAGCGTCCGCGCACCCAGTAACGCGCACGCATGCCCAGTACTCGGCAGTCAGGCCCCAGTCATGCGCATAGACGTGCACAGTGCGCGTCAACACGCACAGTACTGTCCAGTTGCGTACACCACAGCGCATCACACGCCCAGCCGCGTGTCCTGCGACGTGATACGGAAGTGGGTATTGACCCTCGATGATAGAAAAGGCCGAGGGCCGAGACTAATGGACAAGGCCGATCAAAGGGCGCAAACAAGGCTTGCATGGCCTAGGAGACGTACACGAACCCGTATGCGAGAGTGCCGACGTGCACAATGGCATAGGAGGTCGAGCAAGAGGCTTGAAAGATCAAGGCTTGAAGAGTCGAGGGGTGGATGTTTGGTGGACAACACGCACGTGGGACAACCGCAAGGAAGGGCGCGAACATGCGCATTGGCATAGACGCGCATGGAGCTTGGAGATTAGGCGAAGTGGTGCGCAGGGGGAGAATGTCGGGGGGTTGAAGCGCACGAGGGATTGCAGCAAATGGACAAACACGCATCGGGCACTGGACGATACGCGGACAGCGCTGAGCGCACGAAGGCGCACAATAGACGAATGGAGCTCTGGGGCACTGAGCGGGACACGCGGGCCAGTGGACAGGCGTGGGAATATCGCGGGGTTATCGAGCTGTTGGAACCCATGAGGATCTCGATATGCACAAATCACGGACAAACATTCAGCATAAACCTATGCGCAGCGGATCTAAAGGTTTGATGAAGAAAACTTACTGCTTAAAATTTATGTAGATCTGGCTGGCCCAAACAGTTGACCGCAAATCAAATCTTCTCAGAATCGAACGAACTTGACCAATCCAGAAAGCTGACGTCACGGCGAAGTCAACGGCGTTGACCGATCGGAAATCGGCCTTCTCACGCGCTCTCACGCGCGATGAAAAGTTCCAGCAGCAGGTTCCTCCCGGCGGCGCGTGGCGGCGCGTGCGGCGGCGGTTGGCGACGATCTCGACAGCGATCTCTTCGTCTCGTCGTCCTGCTCGTCGTGGTATGGTCACTTGCTGGTTTTGGTCTCCGATTTGGATGTATGATTGGAATCTCTATATACCTTAAGAT